ATCAATCAATCAATCAATCAATCAATCATTGACAATCAATCAATCAATCAATCAATCAATCAATCAACCAATCAATCAATCAATCAATCAATCAATCAATCAATCAATCAATCAATCAATCAATATTTATTTTTTTTTCTATTTTTGCTACTTACCAAAAACCACCCCCCAAATTTTCAAACTTTTTTTTTTTTTTGTGCAGGTCATTAGAGGCCGACCTGCGCAGGCCGCGCGCGCGCGCCGAGTTCCCCCGCACATCCCCGCCTGGTTGTGGCACGGCCGTGCAGCCTCGGCCACAGGCCAGCGGCCGGCCTCCTCGGCCTTGGGTGCCACATAGGGGCAGGGTGGTCGAGAAGGCCGTGCTCACAATCTTCCTCCACAAAATGCAGCTTACAGGTAAGGCAGTCACATTCTAAATGTTACTATTTTCCTTTTTTTCTTGGTCGTGTGTTTCTTATGAGTCCCCAGTCCGTGAATTGCTGAAGCTGTCCGTGATCTGCTCAAGCTGTGTTTTGTCAAAGGATTGGATGCATTGGGGCTCGGATGCAAGGTGCACACTCCCCTACTATCTGACCTTAGTAACTTTGGGGCTCAGATGCATTGGATGTGTGAAGGGGGCGAATAGTTGCGGGCGATCCTAAGCGCAATGAGGTTGTTCTAGGTGCGGTCATGGCATGCCCAAAGGGGTTAGAGGGCTCTAGGCCAGAGGCCTGAAGGCTCCTAGCACGCTTGACCTTGGTTTTGGGAGAGGGTCGTTGGATCACGACGATCCTGAAGTTCGACTATGATGAAGCTAAACTGAAGATTAATGTTGATGGGGGGAGAGAAGAAGAGATGAGAGAGGATCACAAACTGTAGGCAGCGATAATAGAGGCCAATAATCGAGCCAAGTGAAGGCACAGAAGGGATGGAGTCACGACAGAGGTCTAGGTGACAGTCTCGTATCACGGGATTGAGACCTCTAACGAAACCACAGAGCGCAAGCATCAGCATTTGGACCGTGAGGCCGAGTCGGAAGTTAGTGGTGGAGAAACCCAGTCCTGGCGTGGATTAGCTCAGTGGGGGCGGGACTACCAACAGCATCAATGAAGGATGGACCTGACGTTAGCTCTCAACAACGGAAAGGCTAGGCCTTGAGGCAGTTATGGGCAACGTGGAGGAGGTGACAATCAAGAAGAAAAGAGCGGACACTGATTGAAGTACGTGTGGTGTGCAAGTATGCGCGGTGTGCAAGTACATGCGGTCTGCAAGAATACAAGGAGTCAATCTCTGAGGGGGTGTGTATCCCTCATGAGAAGTGTGCTCTTGCTCAGAGGTTGATGTCATGCCGCCAGTGAGGGGAGGCTAGACTTGCACACGGCAGGCACGTGATCGGAACGCTGCTGATGTCATTGTCACCTTGGGATGGTTCTTGTTATATGCAATTCGTATCACTCTTCGTCTCTAAAATAGTGGAATTGAGAACGAGTCACGACAACGTGAGGTACAGGTGGTACGCGCATATGAGTGAAGTCAGACATTCGTATGATTGGTAGTGTCCGTGCCCTCGTTGGCTATCTCGTGCACTTCTCACCGTGAGGAAGAGTCGAATGTGAGCAGATAGAACGTGATATTGATGCACATAAGCTCTCCAAGTTGGATTTCTCAAGAGAAACACATGAGAGATCACATACTTCTTATGTGTGAGGTCACCAACATCTTCGTCCAAATCTGCATCGCCCACCGTCTCTAGCTTCATCACCGTAAAGGGGGGGATAAAACAAGCCAGCGGATCAAGAGACCAATTGTGTGCGAGAAATCATGAAGTCAAACTTCCCGAGCTACTTAACCATTTTGGTTGACTTCATCTCCGTGTATAATTGATCAGCGACACCTTGAACAAGCGAGCTGGGTTTTAGTAATCAGAAACTATACGTCAATAGACATGACGTGAGAAAGTCTTGAAAACGAGACTTTGAGATGTCAAACGAGAATAAGACTCTCGTGGGAGCTCTATGCAAAGACTTTCGTGACGTCGTCTGCTTCCATGCATAGTCGGTATCGCCTACCCTAATTGAGGTTATAACAGCGATTTCGTCAAAACGGACATTTAATATTTTTTGAACGAAATTGAAATTGTCATTTTCATTGTGACTTTGGGTCAAAAATACATTTGAAATTCGTGGTTCGGGGTACGGGTATACACGTGAGGGGTAAGGGATAAGGGGTAAGGGGTAAGGGGTAACGGGTAAGGGGTTTAGGGGTAAGGGACAAGGGGTAAATGGGAAGGGGTAAGGGGTAAGGGTCTCAAGCAATGTTTGGCACCATCTATACACTATTTCAGTTACAAACAATTTCATGTTACCCACATACGTCCACATGTAATCACAATATCCAACAACAGGTACATACTACTCACGAGCCACTGTGTCCAAAGCCATTCAACGACGTATTGCGGGTATGTCATCAGCAGCGTTGTCGAGCGGGGATCCCCGGGGGCAAAGCCGGTGTGAGGCTGCGGCCCCCGGACCCCGGCCGCGGGGGCCATCCAACCCCGCCACGGCCGGACGACCCCCGCCGCCGCCCAGCCCCGGGTACCTCGCCGCCTAACCCCGCAGGCCCGCCACCGGCCCCGCAACCCCGCCCCCGCATCGCCCCC